AGCAATGTAATGCACGTATTCTGGCAGGGACGTTGTCAAGGTATCGGTTGCAAGCGCTTCGCCGTCTCTGGCTATTCGACAGGCACACGTGGCGCTGAATGAATGAATGAAAGCCCGGAGCTAAGAGCACGTTGCGGTCGCTTGCAGAATTTTCATGCAAACTGTCCCACATCAAGTTGAAAACAGCACGTGTTTTGTGCGCCTACGATTCTCGACTAGTACTGAGTCAATCATTCGAGCCGTTATTCTGATGAACTGGGTGATCACTCGCCACGTACACGTGACTGTGCATTGTGACTTTTTTTTTCGTTGCCTTATTTTCAATGTAATTTATCTACGTGGACTGGGCTTACATGGGGCTCAGTGAATGAATGAAAGGTGTGCAGCTGACGGGGCTTTGCAAGTAAGAGCACGTGTTTTGTGCACCCGTCATTTTGGGACAGTGCGTTATCGATTCTGTATGAAATCGCCCCAAAAAGCTAAGCTTATTACTTGCCATATCCGCGCTGATGCTATTTGGATCGCATTCCAGTTTGCGATAAGAAAAATGTTCCGGGGGGGGGGGGGGGGAATCTGACGCAACATGCTCCTTGATGAAGACAGCGCAATAGATTTATATTGTAGGCAGATATACTAACGATATGGTCACGAGGCATGACCCGGTGGAGGGTTCCGGAAATTTCGGCCAAAATCCAAGTACGTGCACGGACCTCCTGCGTTTCGCCTATATCGAACCCACGACCTCCGGGTCAGGAGCCTGGCACCGCAATCATTGCACCATCGCGGTGGCTTTGCTATAGGAAGACGAGGAATCCCGCATGCATAGCTCGATGAGCCCTGCCATTCATCTAATCCTCACCTTTCCACGTAGTTCCGCCGCTTTCACCTATGCTACTCTTCCCTTGATCGCACCACGTTATAACCGCCCCGGTATTAAGCTCGAAGACGTGGGTTCGTTTACCTGACCGCGGTGGACACGTTTCGACGAAGGTGAAGAGCGAGAACACTGTTGTACACCCTTTGACGAAATAAGTCGGAACATGTGAGCAATGACCGCAATCCGATGGATGGATTGATATGGCTGTACCCTTTAGATCGGGTGGCGGCTAACGCCACCTAGCCTTAATACTAAGTGAACAAAAAAATATCTTGGTAGGAAGCGCAGCAACTATTACACGGAACACTCATGGAACTGACCCGATACAATTGTTTATTGAACAACTACTAGATTTATCTCTTTCTCCCTTTAAGTAGTAAAGTTGAGGTGATGATGGTGATAGGGGACTGTTTTCTTTGAATCGGGTGTTCACAAATATTGTGACGTAGCCAGTTAAAAAAAAAAAAACGAGATAGGAAGTTTTAGAACAGACAGCGGGGCACACACATGTCTTTTTGCACTCCAGAAGTGGTTGCACGTTAAAGAACCCCAGGTGGTCAAAATTTCCGGAGCCCTCCACTACGGCGTCTCTCATAATCATGTGGTGGTTTTGGGACGTTAAACCCCACATATCAATCAATCAAATCACTCCAGAAGTGCCGTGTCTGCCCTGTCAGTCCCTATTTCACCGTAGCCTTCCACCACATTTGTAGACGAGCTTGAAACTGCATTGCCGCACCATCTGACGTGAAGAGTGCGCATGTGCGTCCTTTCAATTTCGCAGCCATATCTTTTCACTCTCTTGCAGCGTACCAGTGATTACATGTAGCGCTTCGTGCTAGGCGTCACTTTCTTCATTCAGTGACGCGCTCAGTTCAACGGGGGCACGGTGGCGGTGAGGGTATGCCACTGGCTGCGTCCTGTTTAAAGAGATAGCATATCTTGTACAGGTGGCAAACCGGTGCCACACACATCATTAATTCTCTTCTCTGCACGTTCGTTTTAGTTGAAGCGTTGAATGAAAAGTTCGGCTGCTCTGCGTTGTCTGTGAAGCGTACAGTTTCGGTTCCCAGTGCCGCCAGGCGCCCGAGAAGGTGGCCTCCGCTAGTTTCCTTCCTTTCACTCCCATTCCTCCAGCCAACGACGCTCAGTCGGACTCCCTCAGAAATAAACTTTGCGATCCCAAAACCACTCAGTGCGCGCGCAGAAGTAATGATCCCGTGCTGTTGGGGCAAATGGCCGCTCGTGGCTGAGCGAGTTCTCTTCGTGTACAACATTCGACAAGTGTGCTCTCGCCTGGTGCATGAAAAGTATGTCTGAGCCTTCGCAGTTCTTGCTCAGGCAAGGACTTCAGCAACGAGGGTCTTGGGTCTTGCAGACTAATTTATCAGCACAGACTTCAGCCAACAAAATGAATTTTTTTTAACAAAGTGACATTCTTTCTAAATGCACTGTGTTTAAATGGTTCGTAGATATTTGTTTTAATTTTTAATCATGTTTTAATCATTTGTTTCAATTTTTAAACTAATAACCGAAATGAAACAACACTTGTACTGGCGCTCTTTGGCCGTAGATGCCCTTGCGCCAATAAAACTTAACGTAATAATAAAATAAGAATCCGGTGCATGTTTACCGACCTTGGATCAAAGCGGCAAGCATGTACGACCCTTGGTGACTGGGCTGCGCTGTGCGTGCCATCATTGCATCCTGCCAGATGTCAACCACATCGAATCAATATTGCAGTGATTCTTGTCGAAACGATCGTCAGACATCACCGATTCATCGTGATTTTATAAGAACAACACCGGCAAGTAGAGACTTATGGAAGGCGTCTGAGATGTGAACTGATGTCGAAAACGGCTGCACCCAACAGTCATATCATGCAGCAGATTGCTGACCATGTTATGATGAAAAGTCTAGACAAAGCACTTGGAATAGACAATGCAACTAAAACAAGGCACGATCTATCTGTTGCTGGCGTCGGTGTTGTTTGTGTGTCAATATTTTGCTTTTTCATATGATTGCCTTATGTTTGTTATTATTGAGTGACGTGAACGGCGCAATTTTCGGCATTTTTCTCCCCGTTATTGCCGTCGGATACTGCAGCCACATGGAAGGCCATTGTAATGTGGTTACAGTGTCAATGGACGAGCGGCCCCTTAAATTTGATTATGCATGGTCATGTATGCCCCCAAACAGACAAACGGACGCACGACCATACATAAAGTAGGGAGTTTTAGAATAGGGCCCCCCAAAAATAGCGTTAAGGCCACTGCGCATGAACGATATCGCATTTGGGTTGGGGATGCTATTTTTCTAATTCAGTGCGAGCCCCAGAGCCTGCCCCAAAAGTTTTTGGTCAGACGAACGTGACGGCACGCACTGAAGCATTGGCTCCCGACCAAGACTAGAGTGATATGGAATAGGGGGAGTGTCCAGCAGACGCTATTCGAAAACTCATCGCTCCTGCGTTTGCCGCTATCGCCGACACCTGCTGGATAGGTTTAAAAGTGTTCAGCTGCACGATTCGATGGTGCTGTTTATTGGGGTCCCAATAGCGGGATAGGTAGCCTTTTTGTCGTTGTGTCATTTTTATTTTCATGCTAGCTTCTATCACAACTCCGGTTCTATCCATCTCATCCTAACCCCCCCTTCCCCCCCGCCAATATCGAAATGTCTTCCTTATTGCCAACCGGCAGCTGACGTTCCATCCCCCTCGAAACTACTGACTCGCAAAGATTTTCTATGTACACCCATGTACATTTTCCATGTACCGGCCCTTCTGTTACAGTGAGCTGAGTTTGCGCAATTAGATTACAGCAACGCCTGCTTTCGATAAGTCTTTTTTATATTTTTTTCTCTGGTAGCCAGAATGGGCTTCGAACAGTGAAGCATATTTCGACACATCTTATACAATTTGAGAGTGGCATTTCACAGCGGGGTCATTTGATCTGCAGAAGTAAATTCTACTTTCCGTACTATTGAGAAGCATTGAGAGAAATATATTGTGTTGTTGAAATAAAGGTAAACGCGCTCACTCTTCCTGAGGCCATTTAAGCAACGGCAAAGTCTGCTGCCACGTTCACCTTATTGGGTACTTCATGTCCGTTTGACCGGGGTATCATAATATGCGAACATGAGGAACAGGTAGCAGTCTGCCGGGGCTGAGACCCTGAACTCTTTTTTTCATTAATGACAGTTGTATAATGAACAGGACTTGTGGCTCGTTCATTACACAACAGGAATGTGTGTTACCTGCGGCTTTGTGTGACGTGAATGCGATAGCCGCACGAAAAACATAAAATGAATAAAAAGACGACGGTTCACAGTAGCGCCGGGTGGTATAGATTAGGAATAGCCTGATGTTATCCGTTTCGCACATTTTTCACTGTCGCCCGCTTACTTTCCCGTTCATTCGCATAATCAATGGGCATGATGATGTGCAAACAAAAATGAACATGTCAACCAATCAACTCTTAACCGAAAATTAATTACTTTGGATCTTAATCTTCCCACATTCCCTATCGTTGAGACTAATTAGTTGCATTTTCTTCTCTCTCGTCTATCGTTTGTTGCTGAGTGGAATACTTGTGGGACCTACTGAAGGGGCAGATCAGGTGGTAGTTGTAAGCCGTATCATTAATGACACCGTGACACAGCTAGTTTCCAGCCTTCGAGCATTGTGAAATGCATGAGAGGAAGCCTGAAAATGCTAGCGAGGAGGAAAAACGTAAGTAAGCTGGCGTCTTACCAGTGCGAAAATGTGGCGCACGCCACGGAGAGGTTATGTTTACCCCCGGTCTCAGACGGCGACGAAAGATGTGCACCTTTTTTTGCTACTCGCCGGGCGAAAGTTTTCTGGAAATTTTTAGGGTCTCCGCCCCAGCCGCGCGCGTCTTCCCCGCGCGCGCGCGGAGGAGGATGTAGCGAGAGAGGGTACTGTGTAGAGCGCTTCTCCCAGCCCCAACGGCCGGCGAACGCACAGATTGGCGATAACTGGTGACGTCACACCTCCCTCGTCCAATGAAAGAATTGGAAGGAACTTTGTTAGTGAGAGTGTGCGCCGACGCGCGCGCGGAGACTGCGGAGGAGTGCTAAGGCGCGCGGGCGTGCTGAGTCCAATGAGGGTCGTCGCTCGAAGGTTCTCCTCGCCAGTCTTTCCTGAGCTCTCTTGTCGAACTTCGCGTCCTCGTGGAGAGCTCGCAGGAACATGGCGGGTGAGCATGGTGTTGTGTGCGGCGCCGCCGCCGCAATTCTCCCTTGCAATGGCGCGGCACGGCGACTACGGCTGCTCTAAAACGTGAGCCGTTTTACAGGAATGCCGGACGACGGTGATGGCCTCGTGCCGGATCAGAGTGAGTACGCAGATGAACTCGGCTTCCGATCCGTCATCGGCGTCGATGAAGTGCGGTCTGACTACTGACTGGCTAAGCCTACTGCCAAGCGCATTTAGGCCTAGCGTCCTGTTCCTTCAAAGGGCCGCCCGCGGCGGGCGCTATGGCGCGCGTGGCGGCTTCTTTTAGTTCGTTCGCGTGCCGAAGCTCGGCCGCGATTATCTCGCTGCAGTTTCGCCTCGTGGATCGGTGCCTTGTCGCAATGCACTTGTTATACGCGTGTTGCTCTGTGGTACTACTACAAATTCGGTGTTGACAATTCCCGGAGGTCAATACACACCACGGGATCGTTGCTATTTGGTTGTAGGCGTGTTTTCGGCGTCATTGTGAACAATTCTTTGACTTCGACGATACTACTTGCTCGAATGAGCGCACGTATTCTCGCTTGGATGTGCAGTTTCCTTGGCGCCGGTGACTCTTCCGTCACCGTGACGCGGTTGACTGGTAATATCGCGTGGGGCTGCGCTTTTGGGCAATCGCATTTGCTTGTTTTTGTGTTTAGCCAGCCTCTCTCGTAAGTTACTTGGCATATCTGTTGTAAATTTCGTCTTTTGATTTTGAGTATCTCTTTCCGTAAGCCGGTGTGTTCATACTCGAAATTTTTGACGGTTGGGCGGTTACGGCGCATTCAAATTTAAAATTGTATTCTGGAGTGGCTGACCGTCCGCCAGTTAATGCGAAGTCGTTTGCTTCAGTACAGTCTCCAGTCTGACCTCGCTTTCCTCGTGGGCGAAGAAAAAGATCCCCACTCGGAATCTTTACTGTGGCTTTTAATTATCGTCCGACGTTGTGTCACTTGTATATTTTTACCCTCACTGTAGCCTCTATGTGCCCTTTACTTCGCAGGCGCTCGCTATGGTAAAACAATTGTCCGCGTTTTAACAGTTGCTGCTGATCGGTTTGTTTGACGTAGGCACTAGCGGAGTTCCAGTGAGTGTGGCGCGCATGAAGCGTGCGACGTGCTTGATTGACGCGAGCACCTTTCCATTGTCCCGGTAGCGCCAACGGCGAGGACGCCGCTTGGGTTCGCCCGTGGGGGTGGAGAGAGCGACCAGGCGAGAGCTGCTTGGGCGTTTGCTGCAGCAGGCGTTGCCCTAGGCGCCCGCTTCGCCGGTCATGTTCAAGTAAAGCGAGGTGGCTCATAACCGCTCTCGGTTCTAACCCTAACGCAACTAGGCCCCCGTGCTAATGAATGGCAATTCGCCGTCTAATCATCGGCGATTTTGCGTGGCGTCGAAATTACGCGTGCCGTGCTGCAAGCATGGCTTCACGGCAGCGCAGTCACATGATTTTTTTGCCGAGCCTACACGATGTGGTTTCTGCTGCTCGCTACTTCCGTTTCTAGTCTTGTATGTTGCGTAATTGGGTTAGTGCCCAGCAGGCTACGGTCTTCGTTGCGGTCAAATGCGCCACGAGTCCGTGGCCTGCAGTTTTGTCCTTATCGGATCACGACAAACGGCAGGTGTGTTGCGTGATTTTTTGACGCCATGTCGGGGAGGAGGTTTTACACGTGGGGCTGACGCTCGGGGCAGGCGTTATTTAAAATGACGCAGTTGCTCACTAGCCGCGGCCCCAGCCTCTTTCGCCGTCAGACTCCGTGTGGTCGAAGTCATGCGACTTGTTGGGTGGCAGCTGTGTAGAGGTAACTGATCTAGCGTGATGCCTTAGGTTTTCATGAAAACAGTGCACTACATTCGTTTCACACCTTTCATTTGTGATGTGAGCTACGTGATGGGAGCTACACAAGTTATGAAAAGTACCCCCTTCTGAGCCCCGCCGCGGTGGTCTAGTGGCTAAGGTACTCGGCTACTGACCCGCAGGTCGCGGGTTCGAATCCCGGCTGCGGCGGCTGCATTTCCGATGGAGGCGGAAATGTTGTAGGCCCGTGTGCTCAGATTTGGGTGCACGTTAAAGAACCCCAGGTGGTCGAAATTTCCGGGGCCCATATCATATGGTGGCTTTAGGACGTTAAACCCCACATATCAACCCCCTTTGGAATAATGACCGAACTCGTCCTCCTAATATTGTCTACATAGCTGTGCCCATTTACAAATTGTCATTTCACATCGGGGCAGCATACAGCAAATTTAGCCTTGACTGCAGATTTACGATATGCACACATTTGAAGTATTTATCCTGTTTTTGTTTGTTGCAGGCCCCCCGTTGGGTGAAGCAGACCTGCTGAATACAGAGAACGAAGGTGGGCATAGTGTGCTGTTCAGCTTGAGGAGCATTTGTTCTATTTCTACCTTCTGGTCAGCATGTGTAGAAATGTAGCAATTGACACTCTTGCTCTTTCCACAATCCTGTGGAATGAGAAAGAGCTTGTTCAGCAAGGCACTGAAGCAACACAACCGTGCACTTTTCTTGTGCCCTTCATTAATGAAAAACAAGAAAACTTTTTACATGGAATTGTCGGGATTAGTAATATGTACCCAGCTAACAAAACATTCGTTTCTGGAAGGGCTTATGCTGGCTGCAATACTTATTACACAACACATGTTCAGGTTTGGTGCCACATTATGAAGTAAAATAAGTGTTGCCGAGTTTTCCATATATGTATGTGCCTTGCTAAGGCCATCTTTGGCAATGCACTGATGAAATTGGCTCGGGACATTTCTCGATACACTTGTTCATGCAAAATAAGCTTCTAAGGTGTGCAGTTTTCTTACAAATTAATTTTAATAATTATGTCACTGTCCAAATCGCAAGTGCTGAGCATCAAATTGAGACAGCAGCTTCGAGGAATATGGCATTTGTGGGCTGGTGTTCGGGGCTAAGTGGCACTGTTGCTTGCGTTCTCCGTTTATGGTGAAGCGATTGGTAGCAAATTATGTTGCACTGATGGCTAATTGTATATCAGCCGTACAAGCAGCTTGTGCAATGCCAGTCATGTTCAGCAATGAAGCCTTGCTGAGCTGTAGTTTGTGTATTGGCCATCGGTAACATTGCATAAAATGTCTGCCAAATAAAGTTGTTTCTGTAGTTCAGTTTTAAGCATAAATTGAACAATTCATTTTGCGCTATGCAAGCAAGAAAATGAAATCTTGCGATTCACGTAAACTATCCAGCCCTGCTCCCTGTGAAGGCTTATTCTTTGGTACTTCATCTAATGGAAGTGTCTGTGTACATGTAGTTGTGTGTACTAATTGCTGTGCAGATTTTTTTATTTAACTCAAGTTTATTAAATAGTTCAGTTGAGTTACATGGTTAGCGTTATTACAGCCAGAGGTCCCAAAGTTTCACAGAAACTGACAGGGGGACCTCCTATGGCTACATGGATGGGGTAACTGTTGAAATACATTGTTCACCCTTGTCCGGCAGCAAGGAAATGTAGTAAACTGCTTCATTTAGCAACATTTTGGGGCGGTATTGGCATTGCCAATTGTGGTCTTACTTATTGGCATTGGTCTTATTTATTGAAGATGAATTGCAAAAAAGCACAAGTGATGCAGTATAACGGATAGCTGGGCGAGTTGGTATGTATTCATGATATAACTTTTTTTAGCGCGCACGAAAAACAGGATTTTTGAAAGAAAAAAAAACGTACGACCTGGAAACACGCTCGGAGCATGTGCGTCATGTGACAGGCAAACATACAACGACATGGCTAAATAGAATATAAACAATGATGCTTCCTTTGCTTCGTGATACACAAATTTTGCTCTCACATAGAGATAAACTAACATGTGAACTGATGGAAGCCTTCCATTATTATGGGTGTAGAAACAAATTATTAGTCAACCATCGGTGGCTTTGACAGATCCAGTACATTTTTAAAAATTCTATTTAGCCGTGTCTTTGCATATTTGCCTGTCACATAAATTGCACATGCGCTGAGCTGGTTTCCAGGTCCTTATATGTTTTCTTCCTTTCAAAAATAAATTAATTGCGAGTTATCCCTTGCCTGTCTCTTTCTTGTCCTGTTTTTTGTGTCCGCTAAAATTATATCATGAAAGCACGAGTGACTTGGAGATGCAATGGTGCTCATGTGTACAAAATATTGAAAACATTTGTTCTATGTCTATGCACTATTTAATGTTGCCGTGATGCGGGTTGTAATGTGTGCTACGTGAATGATGGTGCACCTGCTGACGTGGGCTGTCACTAGTGCTATTCAGAACAAATTAAGTGGGCAGTTTGGGCTACCTTCGGTGTTCACATTGCAGCAGGATATGTTGCACTGAGGTTCCGGTGCTTTTAGCTACGGACTTTAGCAGCTGCAAGTTGATCGTGAACAGTGAATAATTACTGTTGAGCTTCGTCGGCATCACAGCAGTCTCCGTTTTAAACAGGCCTGAAGATATGGTTTTATGATACAGATGAGCTGCAAGGAGGCAATGACATCTTGGTTAAAGGGACCCAAGACCGTAACGATTTTTTTTGCGTATTATTGAAGTAGAATTGCACAATCCCGAAAACACCATTGTTATTGTGACATGTCGCTTAGCGAGAAAACCTGCGGAAAAAAAATGGCACCAAACACTGTGGCGCAGGAAATTTTTAACAGGTATACTGTGTCCTACGTAGCTTCAGCAAGTTTGCTCCGCTGCAGTGGTCTATTGGCTAAAGTACTCATATTTATGATAGGGAAACATGTGGCATTAGAGTTCTGAGTGCAGTTTGTCCATCTAAATCAATTGTTCCTATTTAGTCTCTTTGATGACTGGAGCATTTTTTATGCTCTTTTTGCCAAAGCTTTGAGGTTGTTGAGACTGTTTTTGTTTGTATTCTGCATTTTGAGCTTAACACGTCACCATGCCTGCTGTGTTGTCTTGGTCCAATTTAATTTATATGGCCAACAATTGATGTTTTTTTATATTAATACATTTATATGGCCAACAATTGATGTTTTTTTATATTAAGACATTGCTTTCTGGTATCCAGCAAATGATTGTATTAATTGTGCAGATTGTGAAATTGGAAGGATACAAATAAAGTCAAGGCCATATTCACTTGCCAGAGTATGACCTTGACAGTTGAGTAGTATTGTATTGTTTGACCGAGCAATTCAACTGTGCTCTAGTGGTATTAAGCAGTCAGGCTTCCATTAGCTTTATTATGCTGTACCCAGACCAGTTGTGATTGTACGCATCTGTAATTTAGTTGAAAGTACAGTACCAATTGTTTTGCTCGAGTCGATGCATAGAGTTTCAAATATGGGTCGAAGGTATAGACTCCTTATGAGGCAGTCGCATAGTTATTCTTAATTAATGGCTCGCATTCACAGGGCTTTACCATACATGGCTTACCAATTTTCGAGAAATGTCATAATTTTTAATCTAATTTTAGCCAAATTTCAAGGCACACGTGAAAGACTGCTGCTCTAAGTTAAACATGAATATTGCATAACAAAGTGATGAACTTTGAAAGAAGGCATGTTGTTGTAGAAAGGGGCAAGCCATACCTCTGGACTAGTGGATTACCTTAATTTGCGTGTCATGATTGGTGTTTATCCGTTTCATTTGTGGTCTGCTTTAAAAAAACCGCTGTAAACTAAGGGGCAATAACCACCGAGACATATCTTCTTGACACTTGCAGGTGAAAGAGTGCTTTGCACAAACTTGTAATTCGAGAAACTTAAGCGCCAACCGTTGCAGGCAAAGGAGCAGTCCACTTGTGTGTTTGAGATAACCGGCCATTTTCGCTCTACAGTTTCACAAGTGCAGATTCTCACCTGATATTTTATTTGGTAGTTTGTTAGGTGCCCAAGAAATTAGGAGGAATTTGCTGTTTTGTAAACAAAAAAGTAGAAATTAAAAAAGCAAAGATTAGTGTAGGCTGTGATGTTTACCACCGATCTCAAGCAGTTGAGTGTGCCTCGGGTGTCGTTTATCGAATCCCCCTGTCATGTGGCACCGCATAAATAGGCCTGAAATAAAGGCATGTGAATGTTAGGATAAGAGAACATGATACGGGTGTAGGTACCGATGTCCTATAGTATATGGCTGCAACATTGCCAGCAATGTGGATATGCACCCCAGTGTGGAACCAGCATATTGTCATGGCATCATAATGAGACAACTGGAGAAAATATCGAGGTTCGGCACATGCAAAATGAAATAGAATCGTAAATCAACTTCCCATTTGTAGCCTTGCAAAATAAAGAAATAGCTAGGTATTCAGAGTTCTGATTCAATATGTTTTTAAGAGATTAAAAAAAATGATGTTTGGAAATGTTTGGAAGTAGTGCTTCTTTAGTGGCAATAAGTAGAACCATGTCAAGCCGTGATGCATGTTGTACGTGGCATGTACTTATGTGCATCAAATCGCAGTGTGCAAGCTAGAACAGCTGTTGTCCCTTACTACTGTTTATAGCAAGTGTTACAAATACAACATCTGCATAGCAGATAAGAAACTCGGTAAATCATTCAAGGTGCTTTCTGCCTTAACATTTTCTTTCTTTCCAACCTGTATCGGGGTTCATGCAGGTTCTTGAAATCCTCAAAAACGCTTTTAATTTTAAGAGTTTATTTTCAAGGCCTTGAAAGTGCTGGAATTTTTGCAAATGCTTGGAATTTTCCTTTCTTTAATAAGTATTTTCACACATTTCACAGTGCTGTATTTGTAATGCCATAATTGTAGCAAGTGGCATATGTAATTTGCCCCCCACAAAAGAATTGAGAGCATTAATACCTTTTGGTGTGTTCACTTCACTAGTGTGTTCACTTCACAACAGCAATTGCTGACAAGCTATGTACAGTAGAAACTGTCTGATGTTTTACACACACACACACACACACACACACTCTCACCCATTCACACTCACTCTCAAAGAACCACGCTGTTGCCGGTAGAACTATTCGATCATTGGTTAAAGTATTGAAAGTAGTAAGGATAAACAGTAGTGGACAAATGGCACAGCTTTACCTCTGAGGAATGTTTATCATTTTAGGGCTTATAGAAGTCCTTGGTGGAAGGCTGGCATGTTTTTCGTGCCTCTGCCAGGATCTGTCCATTTCGGAGCGCTTGGATGGCCTTGTGGCAATTCACATAACTCATTGCCATTGCCCATTCCTCAGCACATCTAGTGAAGCACCAGCTTTCGACGTGTATGGCAGGAATGTTGTGCGAACAATGTGGGGAAAGGCCATTCTAATACATTGGTGTTCATAGGTGGTTTTATGGTTCGTACGCTGGAAACATTGGCGGAGAAAATGAATTAGTAAAGCACATTTGGAGTTCTGTGTATTTGTAGAAAAATGTGCTGCCAAGCTGTTCACCAAAGAACAGTAAACATTGCTTATTTTTTAAGTAGTTTTAAACAGGTAAGCTTTAGCCTAGGTGCAATACTGGCTTCCATTTTATAATTGTTGGGCTTTTAACAAGTCTCAAAACCACCATATGATTCTGAGAGATGTAGTGGAAGGCTTCTGTGAAGTTTCAACCACCTGTAGCTCTTTGATGTGCACCCATATCTAAATACGCGAGCCTCAAGCTTTCTTGCCACCATAGGAAATGTGGCTGCGACCTGGGGATGAGCAGTCGCACACCATAACCACTAGATTACTGTGTCAATTCTACCATTTCTAGTGGCTAAGGTACTCTGCTGCTGACCCGCAGGTTGCGGGATCCAATGCCGGCTGCAGCTGCATGTCTGATTTAGGCGGAAATGTTGTAGGTCCATGTGCTCAGATTAGGATGCAAGTTGAGAACCCCAGGTGGTCAAAATTTTCGGAACCCTCCACTACGGCGTCTGTCATAGTCATGTGGTGGTTTAGGGACGTTAAACCACGCATATCAATCAATCAATTCTACCATTTCACAGCTGAAAAAAAAATTGTGGATGGACAATTCATATCTAAGATTTGAAGTGAATGTTTAAAGCCAGTGTGTACCTTAATCTACATTATAATGTAGCCATCTACAAACATTATTTGGGTTATTCAATACAGCTAGGTGTTTCAAAATCATCCAGTGTGAGCGGCATTATGATGCATCAGATTGTTTTGCATCATTTGAATAGTTTCCCGGGGACATTAAGTTTAACTTCTTTTGTGCATGTTATTTTTCACATCCTAATTAATGTTTATCGTGATGTGTCACCCTGGCATCGATTGACTAGTTCAAGTTGAAAATAAAGAATGTAGTTGGGCTAGATTCATTCTCGGCTGTAGCTGTACTAGTGCTCAGTCACTTGTTCAGCCCCGCCGCGGTGGTCCTCGGCTGCTGATCCGCAGGACGGGGGATCGAATCCCGGCTGCATCTGATGCAGGTGAACATGCTGTAGGCATGTGTGCCCGGATTTCGGTGCATGTTAAAGAACCCCAGGTGGTCGAAATTTCCAGAGCCCTCCACTGTGGCATCTCTCATAATCATGGTAGTTTTGGGATGTTAAATGCCACATATCAATCAGTCACTTGTTCAGTGCACGCCTGAAATGTCTATTGACTATCCCTCTCCCCATTTTCTGTTTTACTCTGTTGTGCCTGCAGGCTACAAATTCATGGCAGATTGAATTTGTAGCCTGCTACATGGCAGATTGAATTTGTAGCCTGTTAGGGAATAGGTTATATGAAATCAAGCAGTTGTCCTATACTTTATTTAGATATGGCACAAAGGTCGAAGGGCAGAGGATAAGGATCATGTTGAAAAAGCCATACCAGTCTCTGGCCTGGCAAAAAGGGACATATCAAATGTTCTTATGCGAGAACATACATGAGCTACCTGTTATACATCGTGTGGGCATTGAGTGGCCGGGGCAAGGCCGCTAACCAAGAGTTTGAAAGTGTTCCACCACCTCTCTCAATAATTTTCATGTTTTAACTTGATACTAAAATATTTACATGCCTTCACAGTAACCACAAAAGGTTTCACCCGCTCCTTGGAAAAAATTTCTTGGTATTTCCTTGGGCAGTGGAGATGCAAGGTTTATGTTTAAGTGGACGATAAAAACTTCAAATATATAATGATAGGGTTGCAGCAGAAAGATGAGATAAATTGTGTTGTGCTTTTACAGCAAATACTGGAATATAAAAACTGGGCAAGTATTGTGGCACTGTTTTTGACAGATCGATGATAGGCATCGTGGTGCACATGGCTAAGGAAAATGTTTTGGCAGTGGAGGTCATGTTAGCCATGTAGACAGTCTGCAGTTGATCATCTGAAATATCTATTGCAAAATATCAGTTGATGATTACTCTAGTTATGCGGGAGAGATGTTTTGAGTGAGCTATAATAGGTTATGGCAAGGACTGAAAGACATGTGTCCTGTTTATTCATAATTCACAGAGCTTGGTCGCTGGAGCCACTTCTCACTTGCCATGCTGGCAGCTGAGCAAGAAACGGCTTCTGCCGAACAGCGTGGAGAGGGCTGTGACGACGATGATGACCCCTCTGCTCGGCGTCATGAGCTTGAGGAGCCTGATCCTGTCACTAAGCTGGAACGCTATGCTTACAGTGACATTGTCTTCAATCGGTGAGTTGGGAAGCCAGCTATAGTCTTACTCATGTAGAAGGAGTACCTCTTTTCTGGACTGTAGCATGGGATTGCCAAAGGCTGATATTGCTGCCTCAGTAATTGTGTATTTGGGTGGTCACTCATTTTTGCACAGCCCTTATTGGAAAGTTGTCTAGAGGGCAGTATGCTTGAATTTAATTTGTATTTACCTTCTTAATGAAGAGGAGGATCCCTCCCTTTCTGGGCTGTTTCACGTGTATACAATAATCGTCGCAGCTTCAGCCCTGCATTTTTGGTAGTCACACGTGTTAACAGCCCAGAGGGGCTTGTGGCGGCGCCCAGGGAGTACGTTGACAAGGTGTATACTTCAGGGCAGCTCTTATCTAATCTGTTGTGCTTGTGCATGTAGGTTGATGGGTGTTATGGCCAGTTGCTATCACAGACTTGTGAAATGCCCTCTGATACTGATTGTCAGGGTTGTCACCGTAACTGCACAAACTGCATTGGTATGTTGTAGTCTCTTGACTCCATGCAAATGTTTGTCTTCAACTGAAAAAACAAGGAATCCAAGGCAGTGATGCTACCGCTGCACCAATTGCACCAAACTGCGCTGAATTCACCTTGCTGCTAGACGCTACATTTCTTCAAAATTCGGCGAGTCTGCACCCAACCTGTTTCAAAGGGCATGCTCAGACTTTCAGAAACAAAACTACTTGAGGTTCTCCCATTGCAAATGATATCGCGGTGCGCCTGTGTCAGACGCAACCTAAGCTAAACGAAGCCAAATTTGGCCAAATGTCTCGGTTGGGACACAGTGAATGCCAGATCTTACAGATTTTCTAGGGACCGGGAAACCATGCATGCATCACGTGATGAGCGCCGCTGATTATCAAATGGAGCATGTGAAAACGATGATGCAGAACCTAAAGGATGGGGCAGAATAGAATACTTGTCTGGACTTCCGCGATGCGTGTGTGCACTTAGAAGATGCCCCACTGTAGGAAAATCTCCCGCGAGCGACACGTAGCTCTTGCTGCCACTCGAGACTGATCGTTCCTAGTTGTGTGCAGCACATAGCCTACACATCTGATGCCGTTCCTACCGGGGCACTTTCGTACACACGTTTGTCATAAAAAAGCGTTCTTGACGCCCACTATGTTCCTGATCACTCACGGGCGCGGTGATGGCAAGCTGCTCTTGTTCGTGAAGGCACCGCATCTGTGTGGTGCACTTAGCAAATTGGCTCAGAAAGGCAGCGTGCGTGAGCGATTAAAAGCATCCAGTACGGCAACTGCGCCACAGGCAATAACATGCAGTTTGCTAAAGATACTTATCATAAAGCAATGAAGTCTTAATGGCGTGTTTGCCGCCATCACGCCTCCGAGCATTTCTGGTGCTTATCCGTTACATCGTCTCACTCCGCCGTGATATCAGCTTCGAATATTTTTGATCCCCTTCACAACATAGCACTTTTGCATTGCGGTAAAGCTGGCTTTTAGACATTCAAGAGTCGTTCGTTTAAACCTACGAGGTCATATACGTAGCAAAGGTAGAGAATTTAGGTAAGGCTGTTTCATACCTGAAATGTTGGCTGAAAGCACCCCCCCCCCCTCTCCAAAAATCGGATGCTGAAGAGTGTCAGCGTGGAAATTCCAGATATTCTTATCCATAGACGTCGATAGGGCTTGTGATGCTGCTGTGAAGTCTGAATTCTCCAGCATGTGTGAAAAATCGGCAGTCTGAGCTCAATTTTATCATTGGCCTTGTCTTATAAACATGGTCCGGTTGTCTGGCGATGATATTGTTTATTCTATTATGCTTGAATAGCGTGCAGCATATTGTAATTTTATCATTTGTGTGTCATGAACATATTCCAAAAACGTCGGGAAGGGGTGGATGAAAAAATCCATAAACAGGGGTTGTCGGGACTGCGTTTCAATAAATGGGCTTGTTTTTGTCAAGGCTAGAACAGAACAGTTTTGTTCCGAAGAAGACAAGACCGATTGTTGGAACGTCGACTTGACACAACCCCTGTTTACGGATTTCTTCGTGAACACAATAGTTCATATCTGCTCCGAATGCCACTTTTGCTGCTCCAAAAGCTGCTCTGAAGCAGCCTAAGCCACTAGCATCACTGCCATGGGGATGCTCTGTCACATTGTGCTCAATTGACAACCAGTTTTTGTGCACTCTTTTCATCTGATGGGAAGCTTACTCTCGCTAGTACTGTTTACCCAGAATTGTTTCACTAGAAACAAGTGTGGCAATATTTTAATAAAATATTTTATCTCCATAATTCCTTCTGCTTCTGCATGCCAACTCTGCTAACTGATAATGATCAGACATGAGCAATAAACCGAGCCATCTGTATTTTACATAATGTTGACAGCAGCATAGTTTCTTTATGAAATGTTACGATTGGTGGCTTCACAAGTGATCAAAAACGCTTTAAAGTTGTAGATATGTCATACATTTTTCTGCCTTGTGAAACTCCCTGTTAACTGTAAAATGGGTTCAAGTGGACTCCTGAAGGGGGCCTTGTGCGATACCGAGCCATTTCAGAACCCACTGAGACATCGACGACTGACTTGTTCAATAGCACAGAGGTGCAGCTGACTTTTTTTATGCCATGACCAATGTTGTCGATAGCTACCAGTAGCGAGACAAGCTTGGGTGACCGAAGCATCGCTAGTTCGATGATCCTGACAAGTTGCTTATGTGCACCATGCATGTCTTCAGGGCGCAGTGCAGTATGGTTTTGTGACTGGTTTTATTGTGGGGGCAGGTTGCTACACTGGCAGGGTTCTGTCAATGGCTTTGCTTTCTCATGCATATGCAGCACCACCTTTCATTAAACCACGTTCACATTACCAGTCAGCACATATAGTATTTCAGTGATTTGCAACATTAGAATAGATGTTTCTGTGTGTGTGCATAAATATATTTTTTTATATAATAGTTTTTTAAAGTTTTGATTGTTAAGGGGGGAGGTGGCATTGAAAAATCTTTTTTATTTGTTGACCTACAGCAAATTTGGCATGCATACTCATAAGTGTCTTGAATAGGGAAATATGCAGTTTCATCATGATAGCTTCAGTAGTTCTCAAGTTACATAATTCTACACGATCCAATTACATGGTCTGCTCGTGGAAAGCCTAGCACTGTAACAAAACATGCCAGGAAGCTGCGATTGGTGTTGATCTTTACTCAAAAGAAAGCTACAGGGTATGGCACTCTCATAATTTTTTAGTAAGTTCTCTTTTTTTTTAGAGATCATCATGGCTGCCGACACATTGTCGAAACAGTGGAACGGACAAATCATCATCCAGAAAAATAACAGGGTCATAAAAACAGAAATTGAAGATTGCTGTACCCACAAGCAGTGTTCAGGGATTCAGGAAAAAAAAAAAAAAAACAGAATCAAAATTGGTCCAGTCATTCCCGTGCTACTCTTTCCACGAGCAATGCACAATGTCCAAAACACACTTGTGAGAAAAAGCCTTGTGGATTTTTTCAATGAACTTTTTTGTTTCTCGTTGGATATTGATGAAAATTGGCACACACTAAGAATGACCTCACAGTGCTTCCATAAAAATTTCGAAGCGATACCACAAATACTTTACGAAAAACAAATTATTTCTTCATTGAACCATGTGGAGGGGCTGAGCATAAAGTAAAAAAAAACAGTATTGAGAAAGCTGCATTTAAAGTTTCAACTTTTCTTTACGTCTCTAAGACACCTAAAAAATTGTGATCTCAGGTTTGTCTTGTGATATTTGACTTCTTTTCATGATTTACAAAGAACAAGTATGGATTTCAAACCATGTTCTTTGTACGAAGGAGTGGTGTGATAGGTATGACAGAAAAGATTGTAATTGAATAAAACCATATACTGAAATTATTACACATACTTTTTTGTGCTGAAGTTGTAATTAGTGTAATTAAGTACTTGATTACAAATATTCACTGAAATTTTCTTTATTTGGAGAGAGGTTTATTGCATCAGAAAAATGGATCACACCATGACGGCCTATGCCTTCTTTCTAAATAACAAAGTTATGGGCAGAAGACTGGTGGCACGGGAATTTCTAGCAGTATAATTAATGACACGAAACGGGCATATAAAAATTCGTGCCCCTTATTCATACATGCTCTTTCGCCACTCTAGCCGTGAAACGCATCAACATACAGACGGTCGGGGAAACTAATCTACAGCAATTCATTAACCTCTGAACATTCATAGACGTTCTTGGCGATATCAAGCACGGCTCCGAGCACGTCTGAATCACATCACAAAAGCTTATTGACAGCGCTCCATATGACCGTGGACAGTGCAGCCAGCGCGTAATGCACTTGCCGCCGGCGTTCGATGACGATGCGCGAAACTGCTAGCCGCTGTTCCGAGTGAGGGGGGGGGGGGGGGGTGACCGTAAATTGCCCGTACGTGATTCAGAGGAGCTAGTGAGTGATGTGGTACATTCCTTGCAAAGAAGCACGTCGCCAAGAGTGCCCTTGTGCGTCGTTCCTGACCGCAGTCTCGCTGTCGGCGGAGTTAGGCCTCCGCCGATCTGATCGTGCATCCGGTGCGGCCACTCGTAGTAATCAGATCGCGCCGCCGCTTACAGCTTCGTTGCTTGCGAAGAAGCACGTCGCCACGAATGCGCTAGCGTGTCATTCTGCCCGCAGTCTCGCTGTCGGCGGAGTTAGGGCTAAAGACGACTCCAATGACGCACGGCGCTCGTAGTAACCTGATCGCGCATCCGCTTACTGCTCGTAACTAAAGCGTAGTTATATCTTAAGTGATTATCAAGCCGTGAACACGTCACGAAGAGGCGATTTTCGAGAGCCATGTCCTCGCGACGCACAAGCAGCAGACAGTGATCTCCCGGAGCGAGCATCAGTCCAATGGCGAGGCGAGCTGAGGCAACATGGCGGCCACGGCCAATCAAAGGCCCCAGAACGACCTTCAAACATTTGCTTTTTGCTCGCTTGTTGTTAATGCTCTTTCCGATGAGCCC